GAAGATGAGGAACGGGACTCGACAAAGGGACTCATGTTGTGGTTCGTGAGAGCGGTGGCACTGGCCCACTTGGGTCGCAACGTTCGCAAGTTGCTGCTACTGGGCTGGTCATCCGAGGCTGTAAGATCTTGCTGAGGGCCAAGAATTTGTCGCACAAACCACGTGGGCAAGAGGACCGGCGTGTAGCTGTTCTCAACAGTGGCAGCCTTGTCGCTTGGCTCGTGACTCGTGCCATCGTTGTCGTGAGAGCTGGCTGAGCCGCTGCCAGAGTGCGTGGGGTGGGAGAAGCGAGTTCCCATGAAGGGGTTGACCTCGGAGAGGACCATTGAGCTGAGTGTCGCCAAGCGCTGGAATGGGGCTAGACCCTGGCACTGGCGTGACGCCGTGGGGAAAGCCAGGCAAAACGGAGCCTTGGGTGGTCACGATGGGGGGTGGTGCACGAAATTGGCCCATATTGGGCATGGTGGTCGGCACGGCCTGGATCTGGGGCATCTGGGGCATCTGGGGCATCTGGGGCATCTGGGGCATCTGGGGCATCTGGGGCATCTGGGGCATCTGGGGCATCTGGGGCATCTGGGGCATCTGGGGCATCTGGGGCATCTGGGGCATGTTCACCATGTTGGGCATGACTGACATGCTAGGCAGGGCTTGAAACCCCGGCATGCCGGACAAGTGGGAGTGCATTTGGGAGGGCATGTGGGAGGGCATGTGGTGGGCCATGGGCATCATGACATTGGTGGGCATTGAGGGCATTGAGGGCATCGACATCATGGGGCGCATGGGCATGAGGTGGTTGAGGGATCCAAGCGTGTTGTAGCCATGATTGAAATTGGGCATAGGAGCCATGGTGACGGCCATGTTGGGCCCAATGGGCTGTGCAAGAGGGCGCGGGTAGCTGTGGTGCACCGCCTCCTGCGGTTGACCTTGATGGGAACGGCTCGAAGGGAGCGTGATGCCGTATACGCTGGCCGGGGTGCGGCCAGGAGGTTTACGGAGGGCGATCACACTCGCGCTGAGCTCGTTGAAAAAGTTGGCACCTAACAACAACACGGATCAGGTTGGTGAGGCAACGGTCACAGGAAAGGACACAAGACTCCAAACGGCAGAGCTAGAGAAGAGTGGGGAAGGGGAGGGGGAAGATGAAACGAGAAACAACCAACCACTTCACCACCATCATTAAATCAAAGCGCGGGGGGAAGGCAAGGCAAGTCAGAGGGGGCAGGAAGGAAAATGCGAGGAAAAGGGTCCTATAAAGTAGCTGGCTAAGATTGCCACCAACATCCAGTGCAGCCATCCCAAGCGCGACCGGAGTGAGAGTATGTCGCTCAAAGCATCCGGGCGCTAACATGGACGTACACACACACACACACACACACACACACACACACACACACACGCACACGCACACGCACACGCACACACACACACACACACACACACACACACACACACACACACACACACACACACACACACACACACACACACACACACACACACACACACACACACACACACACACACACATGGGACAAAAGAGGGAGGGGTTCTTCAGAAGGAACACAACCAAGGAAATGGTTGGGGCGGTGTTTGCTCTGTGTGCTTTGCTGAAACCGCAGGACATGGTATCAGCAAGAATGTGTATGAACCAAGGATGAAGAGGGAATCTTGATACAAGGGGGTAAAATGGATGGGGGACGATAAAGAGGTGTTACAGCAAATACAGCAAACTGTGCATGGGCATGGGGGTGACGCAGGAGGGAGGGGTGGGGGGGGGTTCTCACTCATCCATGGGACACATGGCAAGGATGGCATGGCATGGCACGGATCGTGGGAGAGGGGATGTCAGGTGGGGGCGGGGATGACAGCAACTTCCCAGAGGCACACGTCGTGTTCAGATGTTGCAGGTACTTACTCGGAATTTAACCCAAAATAGGGGGTTCGCAGTCAACCGAGCTTTTGCGGAAATGTCCGATCGCCAATGGCTTGAACGATTTACAGCACAATTCTGCAGGCGCAGTCGCGTGTGTGTCTGTGAGTGAGAGCACAGACCAAAGCAAACCAAGCCAGGATGAGTACCAAGCAGCAGCATCAAGAAGGTGAAGCGACAAAGGGTGCCCGTCTGTCTCTGTCGGCTGCTGTCTGTCGCCGTCCATCGTTGTCTATCCCTGTCTATCGCAGGCTGTAACTGTCCAACTGTCTATCCGCATGGTTGGTGTGTGCCGGACCAAAGCAAAGCGGCAGCGGCAGCAGCACGCAAGGGCAAAGGCAAAGGCAAAGCCCCGCGCCGCTGGAACCAGCGTCGAGAAGAACAATAAGGAGCAGCGAGGAATGGAGAAGAAAGGGATCGCAAAAGGGATCGAGAAAGGGAGATACCGGGATCGAGATTGGAAAGGAAAATGCCGTCGGAAGGAAAGGGGGGCAGGGGCAGCCTGTCACCAAGTCATAACATGCCGGAGCAAAAAAAGGAGCCAAGCGGCATGGGTGGGAAGGGACTGTCCCTTGTTCTCTAAAACGGCCGAAAGGGTCGCGCAGTTGTGTGTGAAGGGGTCAGCCACACAAGCAGCCCATGCGCTCTTTCTCTCTGTGTGTCTCTCTAGGGTTGCGGCAAGACGCTGATTGCGGTAACAGAGCACCCATACAACATGAACGCTACCTGACCCCCAACACCTTGTGTGTTTTGATGTGACAAATGACAGGAATGTCACCTATCATGCCCATGTCAGGTGGATTTACCCATCCGTCCAACCATCACAACCCATCCGCCGGCGCAGATGGTAGAATCAAATCGTTCGACCCCCATCATGACCCACATACCGCACACGTATTCCCCGTCACACACCCACGGGAGGGCGAAAACCATCGACGAGAGGTTTATTGCGGAAATCGGAAATCATGATAATGTCAGATGTCAGATGTCATGCTTTGTAGATTGTCTGACAATCTGGTCGTGATTACACACCTGCAATGTGTGTGTGTGTGTGTGTGCGTGTGTGTGTGTGCATTTGCATTTAACTCAAAGGTACAACAAACGAGATGCGTTTACCATGAAGCAAGCAAGCGGGGAGAGAGAGTTTTGAACGTTGACACTGAACTCCAAAGGTGGTCGTCGTTGATCGGGACGCGGTGCGGGACCCTTGGAGCCCAATCAGGCCCAGACGCCAACATCGGCGGTCGCGGGCTCGGGTGGTGAGCCAGGGGTGGCTTGAGGAGAAAAATAAGCGCTGAATCGTGTTCGAAGCGCCACTGCCACACCGAGTGGTCGACTGCCATTTTTTTTTTTCACATTCCCCGCGTTGGCGTGCCAGTGGCCCAACTCATCCTTATCCTTCTCGTGCTGGCATTGCGTCCGCTCAGACTCTCTCAGTGAACTCTTCCCTTGCCTCGGCACCCAGCACTCAGCACCCAGCACCCAGCACCCAGCACCATGAGCGGTTACGCGCCCAAGCCTTTTGATGATGGCTTCCTTCAGGTGCGCTGTTATCCCACTGCCCATGATCCTCTTTCTCTCTGCACCGGGCAACTCGATTGTTTGAGGTGTCTTTCTAACGTGCCTCCAATGCCTGGACGGCGAACTGGTTCTGTGCGGTTACCGCGACGCATCTATAGGTCTCGGATATCCATCGTGTTCACTATGAACAAAGCGGCAAGCCCGACGGTGAACCCGTGATCTTCCTGTACGTGCCTTTTTCCAAACAGCAAAGGAGAAGAAAACAAGGAACCAAGGCTCAAAACTCCCCATGTCCCTTATCTGTACTTGCCCCGATTACTCACACTGGTCTTTTATGCATCATTCCCATGCCTGTCTCTTTCCCTTCTCTCTCTCTCTCTTCCGTCTCTATGCTTCTTTCACATGCAGGCATGGTGGTCCCGGTGGCGGAACATCCGCCAGTGACCGCGTGTTTTTTGATCCCACATTCTACCGCATCATCCTGCTCGACCAGCGCGGTGCTGGCAAATCTACCCCGCATGCTGAGCTTCGCGTACGCTCGTTACCCTACGCCCTGTCTCAGAGCGAATGGCCCTTGTCTCCTCACCTCATCTTGACCCCTTCCTGCTCTTTCTTGCTCTTGTATCGCTCTTTCGCCCTCTTGATCTAGGAAAACACGACTTGGGATCTCGTCGAGGACATTGAACGCTTGCGCCGCCATCTGCAAATTGATACCTGGGTGGTTTTTGGCGGCTCGTGGGGTATGTTCTTCTCCCACGAATCACCGCTCCCGTTTCCCAGTACCCTTGAGACTTGCTTCTCGCAAGTCCGAGCCTTGCTCACGCCCGTCCCTCCCACGTCCCCCTGAATCCGGTACCTCTCTCTGGTCTAGGTTCCACGCTGTCGCTCAGCTACGCCGAGACCCACCCCGAGCGCGTGCGTGCGCTTATTCTTCGTGGTCTCTTTACTCTTCGCCGCGAGGAGCTGCTCTTCTTCTACCAAAAAGGTTGGTCGCCTTTTGTGCGTGGCCACGACACGGCCGTGTGTCCAACCCTCGAGTCTTACGTTCTTCTTGGTAGGCTCCTCCTTTATCATGCCGGATTATTTTGAGGAATACGAGAGCATGATCCCGGAAGCGGAGCGCGATGACATGATGGCCGCCTACTACAAGCGTCTGACCGGTGACAACGAGGAGGAGCGCCTCGCTTGCGCCAAGGCTTGGTCCAAGTGGGAGTGCGCCACCTCTCGCCTCTACGTTGATCCAGAAAAGGTGGCGCGCGCCGCTGATGGTCACTGGGCCCTGGCCTTTGCCCGCATCGAGTGCCACTACTTTGTGAACGGCGGTTTCTTCAAGTACGACGGCCAGCTCATCGCTGAAGCCGACAAAATCCGCCACATCCCCACCACCCTTGTCCAGGTTGGTCGGTCGGCCGCGAACAGACGGCATCGTCCGAGCCCCGACCTGTTTGCAAATGTGACTAAACCTTGCTCCTTTTACCTGAACTCATCGGGGGGGGGCCTTTGTTGTGCCACGCCGTTGCTGACCTCTTGTAGGGCCGCTACGACCTCGTCTGCCCCATGAAGACCGCCTGGGACTTTCACAAGAAGGTCCCCGAAGCTGAGGTACGAGGGCTCCAGCGGATGCAACTCTCAAACCTCGGTTCATTCTTCACTTTCCGCGTCGATGGTGCTTGGCCACGCTGCCGTATCTCTCGATTCACTCCCACGCTACTCCAATCTGTGTCAGATCATCATCGTCGATGATAACGGTCACTCGGCGGCAGAAGAAGGCATCCAGCGCGAGCTGATTGCCGCCTGTGACCGCTACCGCGATGCCAAGGTGAGATCCATGCTTCAGATCCATCCCAGTCGGCCAGCATAAGAAGCAGATAAAGGCTGGGCGCATGACGCGACTGGCCTCCATCCTCACCTTGTGGTCCCTCGTGACAGCTCTCGTCGAGCCTGGAGAAGCAGCTGCAAGTCACCCCACCTCAACATGCCGCAACACGTCGCGGCGAGCGCCAGGTACGAACCAATCGAGTGTTTTTTGTTTGTTGATTATCCGCTAGCCTACTTTAATTCGTCCTCTCTCTCTCTCTCTCTCTCTCTCGCTCTCAACCATGGCTTGACTGCGCCTCTTAGCGT